TTGAAGCATTGCTGCTGATAAAAATGATTTGTTATTAAGTTTGCTAAGATTAACTAAGCATAATAAAACACAATGAAAATAATTATGTCTTTAAGATGCTAAAGTACAAGTGTATCTCAAGTTTGTGAACTTATAAAAGAGTTACAATTAACCAGTTAGTCAGATAGTATCTTATTTCTCTCTCTCTATATATATACTTGTGTCCCGAACTTTCTTCTGTTGTATCGAATACAGAAAATATACACTTTAAAAGACGATGTTTCACCTATCACACCGTTGTAAAACTTTACATAATTTATATAAAACATACGTATATTACGCTACTCTTGTTTTTAGCACTACCTGTTGTCGCAAAAAAAGTGTTTACCAGTATCTCCAGTGTGTTTATATGGTTATTCATCTATTAACTGTGAAAACAGAGGTTACCAAATAAAATTCAAAGCACGCTAGGTTATTCTATGAATGTGACGTCATTTCCCACTTGTTGGCTGATGTGAAAAAATTACATGTAACATTGTGCGTGTGTATTTGTTATAAAAATCAGAGCTTCCAAACACAATTACATATAACCTTGTACATGTGGGTTATATTTCAGTAAGAGCTTCCACGCACGATTACATCTAACATTGTGCGTGTGCATTTTATTACAGAGTTTACATGCACGGTTACACGTACCCTTGTGTGTATATTTTATTAAAATTTCAGAGTGCATGTTACGAAAGAGTACTGGCCAGGATACGTTCATGTAAATATACACACCGAGTTTGCGATTATAACAAAAACGATAGATTACTTAGAAATTCAGTATGGGGTTTTGGAATATTAGGTATCATATATTATAGCGTAAAAATTATTGTTTGATGACACGCAGTTGTTTACACCTATTCTTCCTTATGACATTTAGTATATCTAGTTATAGGATAAATAATTTGTATACACTAGTTGAGGGAATCCGTTAAGGAACCAAAAATTGTACAGGGGACAGTGTTAGATAAAACCCCCTTTTTTTTTCTTTCTTTTGTTATTAAGTCCCTAATGACTTATTAGATAGTTATTGCATATCCTGCTTTGTTGAAGGTAATAATTGACTCATTCAACTGAATAAGTACTTGTGTCTTTAAATTAAAAGCCAAAAGTCTACAAAAAAGTAGAAATGTGCCCTATTTCATGGGATTTCTATCGCCCATCTCGGGCAAAAATTTTTAAAACGAAATAGCTAGCTAATGTACTCTGTGGAAAAGTTTTCATTAACCGTACAAAAAATTACAGTAATCAAGCCAGCCAAGTCTGAGTGATGGCTATTAACACATAGACACAAACATAAGTGTCCTAGTAAGATACAGATAGATAATTGTATATATACATTTATAATCTTTTCTAGCGCACTGACCATACCGAATTACTAAGATATAACCCAGGTTCGTGCCCTCTGGTTTTATTGGTATACCAGATATGATCATACTCTGTCTTTCAAACTTAGTTAGTAGGTGGATATAAGGATTACACACAAGCACGTGACTAAAATACAAGTGTTTTGACCAGAATTTAATTTTGGTTGGGACTGGCAGCACACAAACTTACATAAATACACAAAGATACACAAGCACAAGTTTCTTGGATTTCAGTTCAGTCTTGCTGAAGACATTACCTTGTGCTTGCACTAAATAAATTGGTTTTGATGTTTTTACTTCAAAATTTTAATTGATTTCATCTATTTTTCTTTCGCTACATAAGTTGAGTACGTTATATTAGATCGATTTTTGAGCTTCACCTTGTCATTATAGTCCATACATCTTGTCAATAGCCCTGCAGGGTAGTTTCCATTGCAAAAGGCTCCGTCCTGAGGTTGTCATGTCTAAAACACACACTTTCCTGCTTTTTTTTCCCCAGTTTTTCCAGTTTCCTATTGCCAATTTCACCGAAATCAATAAAACCTGAAAGGTATGTTTTCGTGTGAAGTAGCATAAAAACTCGTTTTACTTTACAGCTACTTCAGGTATTTGACAGTTGAACTGATATGTCGTGAAAGAGACTTGTGTACACGTGACTTGTGCCACTTTTCCAGAAGGAAGTACTTATTGATTATGTCGCCTGGGGCACGTGGACGGCTTATGCCACTGACCCTTGTGTTCGTGAATCATCACCTGTTACAAGACGCCACGATTTGCTTTCTATGGCTGGAGTACGACTTGTTGCAGGTCTCTTTTCGGATGGTCATGGTGTTCCCAGTTGATCTTTATTTCTTTGTTTTCCAATGTCATTAAGTACAAATGATATCCACTTCTTGTAAATTATAAATCCCCAATTTGAACACATATTTATGATCTGAGTGTATGAATATTTTGCGTCGGAAAGATCTGTAACATACCCTCCCCAAAAGCAATCGTTTTTCGGCAGCATCATACTACTTACAAAATACCAAACAGTCAAACAATGTCAAAATATAGTTCCACCACGTCTCTATATCGTCTGTGGTTGTCACGTAACTTGCTGATTCATGTTCAAAATCGTTTTAGTATAACATCCTCAACCCTCTGTATTGTGTATCTTGTTTCCATATAATGTAGTAAAGACACATTTTTCATGTGCGCAGCTTTCAGTATGATAAATTGCGTTTTTCTGACCCTATGTGACTTAAGGTATCATAGTTATCTACAACAAATCCATCTGTAGACAAGAATATTCGTTGCAAGAAACACAATATTTTTCATAAACCATTTATCTTAAACTTTACTTAGTATTGGATAATTTGATCACTTAAATCTATTGTTATTATCGTTGTTAAATGTAAATGCTCTTAAACCTTTTTCAATTTTTTAAACAAACTTTGTACAAAATAATTCACTTGTTTTAAGTTCATAAAAATAGCAAAGTCTTATTAAGTTTTACTAGGAAACGGTACAAAACATTCGAGAAATGCCATTAATTATCTTCTGAAGTTTTACAGAAAACGTTTGCACATTGCTATTTTTGTTAAGATGAATTTCTACCTTTCAATAACATTTCTTTAAAAAAAAACC